GCGCTGTACATTACAAAGGGGGACAGAACATGTGACAGAACAATACCAATACAATGCAGAACATGAGGGGATCGAGGGCCCTGCTCTTTGGAGCTTACAATCTAGGACAGTGGTGGGCAACCTTTTTTTTCAACTGAGCCAAAACCACGATTGAAATTTATTTTGAGAGCCACATTTTTAAAACTGAAAATACATCCCCCATAGAGTAATTCGTCCCCCATAGAGTAATTCGTCCCCCATAGAGTAATTCGTCCCCCATAGAGTAATTCGTCCCCCATAGAGTAATTCGTCCCCCATAGAGTAATTCGTCCCCCATAGAGTAATTCGTCCCCCATAGAGTAATTCGTCCCCCATAGAGTAATTCGTCCCCCATATAGTAATAAGTCCCCCCTGTGTCAATTCACTTACCTTTGCTCCGCGCGTTCCTCTCGTCGTGCTTCCCGCGCCGTTCTGGTCTTCAGGGCAGACTGTGAGAGGAGAGGAGTTCGTCACGCTGCCCCGCCTACATCCTGGCTGCCCCGCCTACATCCTGACAGCTGCAGAGTCCTGACTTTTGGGGCGGCCGTCCGAGAGGAGGAAGGGGAGGGGGCGGCGCCCGGCACACGCCCGTCCGAGAGGAGGGAGGGGAGGGGGCGGCCGCCCGGCACACGCCCGTCCGAGAGGAGGGAGGGGAGCGGGCGCCCGGCACACAGAAGAGCCGCATTTAAGCTTGTAAAGAGCCGCATGTGGCTCGCGAGCCGCGGCTTGCCGACCACTGATCTAGGAGTATAAGCAAGTAGATGAAGATTTTTAGAATAACTTTTCATATTAGTTTTTTTATCCCCAGTTTAATAGGTTAATCATTCGTATTTGGACAACTTTTCTGTTGTACTTAGGAAGGAGAAAAATAATCATTACCTTAATAATAACAATTTAAATAGATTTATTCATCTGAAACAATAACATTCCAGCATATGTGATTTGCTTAAACATCCATGTTTGGTAACTAATTTGGCTAAACAAAATATATATACCGTATTTGCCGGCGTATAAGACGACCCCCTACTTTTCCTGCTAAAATGTAGTGTTTGGGCTATACTCGCCGTATAAGACTACCCCTCTTCCAATGCACACCAGTGGGAGGAATAGTGCCCCATCATTGGTGTCAGTGGGAGGAATAGTGCCCCATCATTGGTGTCAGTGGGAGGAATAGTGCCCCATCATTGGTGTCAGTGGGAGGAATAGTGCCCCCTCATTGGTGTCAGTGGGAGGAATAGTGCCCCATCATTGGTGTCAGTGGGAGGAATAGTGCCCCATCATTGGTGTCAGTGGGAGGAATAGTGCCCCATCATTGGGGTCAGTGGGAGGAATAGTGCCCCATCATTGGTATCAGTGGGAGGAATAGTGCCCCATCATTGGTGTCAGTGGGAGGAATAGTGCCCCATCATTGGTGTCAGTGGGAGGAATAGTGCCCCATCATTGGTGTCAGTGGGAGGAATAGTGTCCCATCATTGGTGTCAGTGGGAGGAATAGTGTCCCATCATTGGTGTCAGTGGGAGGAATAGTGTCCCATCATTGGTGTCAGTGGGAGGAATAGTGTCCCATCATTGGTGTCAGTGGGAGGAATAGTGTCCCATCATTGGTATCAGTGGGAGGAATCAGTGGGAGGAATAGTGCCCCGTCATTGGTGTCAGTGGGAGGAATAGTGCCCCATCATTGGTATCAGTGGGAGGAATAGTGTCCCATCGTTGGTATCATTGGGATGAATAATGCCCCATCATTGGTGTCAGTGGGAGGGATAGTGCCCCATCATTGGTATCAGTGGGAGGAATAGTGCCCCATCATTGGTATCAGTGGGAGGGATAGTGCCCGATCATTGGTGTCAGTGGCAGGAATGGTGCCCCATCATTGGTGTCAGTGGGAGGAATGGTGCCCCATCATTGGTGTCAGTGGGAGGAATGGTGCCCCATCATTGGTATCAGTGGGGGGAATAGTGCCCCATCATTGGTGTCAGTGGGAGGAATAATGCCCCATCATTGGTGTCAGTGGGAGGAATAGTGCCCCATCATTGGTGTCAGTGGGAGGAATATTGCCCCATCATTGGTGTCAGTGGGAGGAATAGTGCCCCATCATTGGTGTCAGTGGGAGGAATAGTGCCCCATCATTGGTGTCAGTGGGAGGAATAGTGTCCCATCATTGGTATCAGTGGGAGGAATAGTGCCCCATCATTGGTATCAGTGGGAGGAATAGTGTCCCATCATTGGTGTCAGTGGGAGGAATGGTGTCCCATCATTGGTATCAATGCTGGGAATAGTGCCCCGTCATTGGTGTCAGTGAGGGGAGGAATAGTGCCCCGTCATTGGTGTCAGTGGGGGGAGGAATAGTGCCCCGTCATTGGTGTCAGTGGGGGGAGGAATAGTGCCCCGTCATTGGTGTCAGTGGGGGGGGGGGAATAGTGCCCCATCGTTGGTGTCAGAGGGGGGGAGGAATAGCAGGGGGAGTAGTCCTTAAAGCGGAACTTCCCCTTTTGGGTGGAGCTCCGCTTTTAATGACCTTGCTTATAGGTTTAGGCCATTTATGTACCTCCTGAAGCCTGGCTGAAAAACTTGTCCTGAAACCAAAACAAAACATGCAGGGGTGTCCCCTAGGGTTGGTGTCACCCGGTGCGATAACACTTGGTGACACCCCCTCTGATGAACCCCGTGGGATGGATCGGATCTGCGGATTGAGCATAATGGATCGGAGTCCAATCCATTATGCTCCCCAATCCGCAGATCCCATCCATCCTGCGGGATCATCGGCTTGCAACCTATATGGGGTTAACTGATCTCTCCACGAAAGTTTTAAGATGAATCAGATCTGCGGATTGGAGAGCATAATCGGATTCCGATCCATTATGCTCAATCCGCAGATCCGATCCATCCTGTGGGGATTGTCGGCTTGCTTTAAAACTTAAATTTTCGTGGAGGGGGTCTGGTGTCACCCTGTGCAATAGGTGTCACCTGGTGCGGCACGAACCCCCCACACCTGCCTAGGGACACCACTAAAGACATGAGGCAATGCCTTCAAAGTGAGGGAATCCCCTGGTTGTCCCTTTGAACTAGTGTCCCCATTGGAAGATTTCCTCTATTCATATTATGGTGACCACTCAAAATGTTGGTTTTTTTTTGCTTTCAGAAAAAATAAACCTCTGCTTTACATTACCTACGTTTTTTTTTGTTTTTTTTTTTATTGTCACATTCTATATAGAGGGCCATCCGGTTGCCCAGCTTTAACTATGACTGTTTGCCATGTTTAATCTCGTTCTGTGGTAGTAAGCTGTGTCATTTATTCCGCAGTTCGCAACTCCATCCAGTGCGTTGGCAGCGCAGAGGGTGCTGAGGAAAGAGCCGTGCCAGTCAGCCACGAGTACAGCCGTTGGAGGAGGTATGCTGCAACCAATGAACACATGGGCCCTGTGGATTTCCTTGTTGTGCTGACCAATAGTAAAGTCCAGTGTCCTTCTCCAAAATCTCCGACCCCGCACTGCCTCCATGGCTGGTTTAATTTAAAAAGTTGGATTCCAGCATTGCTTTGCTGGACATTAAAGTGTTCCTAAACCCCGGACCCTGCGTTCACTATATCTGGTGTGTCTCCCCCCCCCCCCGGTACCCTGCGTTCGCTATATCTGGTGTCCCCCCCCCCCCCCCCCCCCCCCCGGTACCCTGCGTTCACTATATCTGGTGTCTCCCCCGGACCCTGCGTTCACTATATCTGGTGTTTCGTCGTCGTCCCCCCCCCCCCCCCCCCCCCCGGACCCTGCGTTCACTATATCTGGTGTCGTCCCCCCCCCCCCCCCCCCCCGCCGGACCCTGCGTTCACTATTCACTATGTCTGGTGTCCCCCGGACCCTGCGTTTACTATATCTGGTGTCCCCGCCGGACCCTGCGTTCACTATTCACTATGTCCTATGTCTGGTGTGTCGTCTTCCCCCCCCCCCGCCGGACCCTGCGTTCACTATTCACTATGTCTGGTGTCCCGTCCCCCCCACCCCCCCCCCCCCCCCCCGACCCTGCGTTCACTATTCACTATGTCTGGTGTCCCCCGGACCCTGCGTTCACTATATCTGGTGTCCCCCGGACCCTGCGTTCACTATATCTGGTGTCCCCCGGACCCTGCGTTCACTATATCTGGTGTCCCCCCGGACCCTGCGTTCACTATATCTGGTGTCCCCCCCGGACCCTGCGTTCACTATATCTGGTGTCCCCCACCCCCCCGGACCCTGCGTTCGCTATGTCGTTCCCCCACCCCCCCGGGACCCTGCGTTCGCTATATCTGGTGTCTCCCCCGGACCCTGCGTTCACTATATCTGGTGTCTTCCCCCCCCCCCCCCCTCCCGGACCCTGCGTTCACTATATCTGGTGTCCCCCAGACCCTGCGTTCACTATATCTGGTGTCCCCCAGACCCTGCGTTCACTATATCTGGTGTCCCCCAGACCCTGCGTTCACTATATCTGGTGTGACTTCTATCAGTGTCAAGCTGAGCACTGGTTAAAGCTTGTAGGAGGTGTTTTCATTCTCCCCTGATTTTATGAGGCTGCATGACCCCTGACCCTCTGGACAGTGCTGATTGGACCTGTGCTGATCCCATGCACCCTCCCAGAAGGAAAAAACCTCTCTAGCGATACACATCAAACTGAGCATCTGTAGCTTGGCCCCAAGGCTCTGTTCTGTCAGGAGATGGATTGGGAACAGTAGAAGGGGAGGATCAGAGAAGACAGGATCAAACAGTCTTTTTACACAATGCAGAGGATTAACCCCTTACGTTCCACAATTTTTTTTTATTTTTATTTTTTTTTTCTTTCCTGATGACTACCAAAAATGTTGTCGGAGCAACAAAAATGGGAAAGGGTCTTAAAAAAAACAAAATACCCCGTACCTTCCCTCTTACAGTAGATGGCATTCTGTAAATCCACATTATATCCTTTTTTGTTTTAACTGTCTCACTGCAGTGTCCCTGTCCTCTGTTCTCTCCTCTGCAGTGATGGCTGGCAGGGTGCCGGTGACTGAGAATCAGCCTGAGAGTCAGCTCGACAAGTCATCAGAGAGGTGAGTTTGTCTAATTTTGTGACCTTCTGATCTTTACACGTCACAGTAATGATGGACCTATCAGACCTCACTCACCCAGAGGACATCTGTCCCCGGTATTAAAGGACAAGTTCACCTTTTGGCACAAGTTACAAATTACATTCATATTTACGGTGTAATGTGTAACATGCTCCAGGTCTACCCCCCCCCCCCCCCCCCCCCCCCCCCCCCCCCCCATGACAACGGGCAGGGGCCCCTTATCCCACATCCACTGTCACCTTTCAAATAACGGTGCCGCTGTGTGGGGCTCTGCCCACACAACCGCCCCATTCACACCACAACACTGTGCAGGAAGCCCGTGTCCATTCACATTTTTCCTACCATGTTCAAAATGCACTGCCTTTCCAATTTGCAGCAGCTGTCAATGACACCCCAAGCACATTGGGGTGGATTTACTTAAGGCAAATAGTCTGTGCACCTCAAGTGCAGTTGTTCTAGATTTGAGGGGGGAAACGTTTTTTTTTTTTTTTTTTTTTTTTTTTTTTTTTTTTTGTTTTTTTTTTTAGCACATGATTGGATGATAGAAATCCGAGCTCTCTTCAGATCTAACACAAGTTCCCTTGCATTGCCCAGACTATTTTCCTTTAGCAGATAAAGTCCATTGTGTTTTCCTGCTTTGGATTGCATGGTACAGAACCAGGGGAGGTCTGACAACTCATGGGGGCCCCCAGGCAATAGGAAATCATGGGGCCCCTGTGTCCTCGCTCACACTTAAACCACACCCAAAAAAGCCTATGAAAGGTACCAGGGGCATCTCATGGGGCCCCCTACTGACCCCGAGCAATAGGAAATCATGGGGCCCCTTGTGTCCTCGCCCACACTTAAACCACACCCAAAAAAGCCTATGAAAGGTACCAGGGGAATCTCATGGGGCCCCCTACTGACCCCGAGCAATAGGAAATCATGGGGGCCCCTTGTGTCCTCGCCCACACTTAAACCACACCCAAAAAAGCCTATGTAAGGTACCAGGGGCATCTCATGGGGCCCCTACTGATCCCGGGCAGTAGGAAATCATGGGGCCCCTGTGTCCTCGCCCACACTTAAACCACACCCAAAAAAGCCTATGAAAGGTACCAGGGGAATCTCATGGGGCCCCCTACTGACCCCGAGCAATAGGAAATCATGGGGCCCCTTGTGTCCTCGCCCACACTTAAACCACACCCAAAAAAGCCTATGAAAGGTACCAGGGGCATCTCATGGGTCCCCCTACTGACCCCGAGCAATAGGAAATCATGGGGCCCCTTGTGTCCTCACTCACACTCAAACCACACCCAAAAAAGCCTATGAAAGGTACCAGGAGCATCTCATGGGGCCCCCTACGAACCCCGGGCCCTTGGGTAGCGTCTGAGTTTCCAAATGGTCAGTCCGCCCCTGTACAGAACTAAAATGCCATCTGGATGTGGTGAGTTTCCAGGAGTAGTGCATCCACTGCTTTTTTTTTTTTTTTTTTTTTTTTTTTTTTTTTTTTTTTTTTTTTTTTTTTGGTGCGATTTTAGCCGAATCAAAATTTATGCACTGAAATCGCACCACACTGAGCCACATGTGAATTCTTAGGCCGGCCATATATGGGTCGATTTCCGAACTATTTTTTTGTTTGAAAATTGGACCCAAGAATAATCGACTGATTTTTCGCTCGGTTAGTGGGGCAATGGTACTGGTGATTTTTGTGGTTCCTCCACAAAAATTGGACATGTTGGAAAATTTTGGACCGATTTTTCGAAATCATTGGTGGCACCATCGGATTACAGAACGAACGTTTTTGATTTTCGATCGAAAAATCGTCAGAATTTGATCCATGTATGTCCTGCTTTAGTGTGAACTTGGCCCTAGCTGTCTGTAAATGAATGAACTTCTAATCCTGTCTGCCACAGCAACAGACGCTTGTCGTTCTCAGTGAACTGGGAGGGCACTGATGAGCACCCTCATAGTTCACTGACACTTCTTACAGCTTTGTGACTGAAAGCCTGTATGGAGAAATGGGCAGGCAACCTGGAGACAGTGTCTGCAGGAGCCTGACATCGCACCGGCGATCTACTGATTGCGGGCACAATGCTCTGCAGGCTCATCTGGAATAATAAATGCACAATATTTTTTTTTTTTTTTTTTTTGCAAAAATATGTGCATGTATTTTCTTCTTAAAGGTGAACTTAGTCTTTAATACAGTTTTGAGTAACCCTTTCCTTCCTCCATCCCTCAATTATTACCTTTTTTGAGGGCAGCACAGTGGCTAAATGGTTAGTACTTCCACCTGGCAGTACTAGGGTCGTCAGTTCGAATCCCAACCTCCTGCCTGGAGTTTGCATGTTCTCCCTGTGCCTGTGTGGGTTTCCTCCCACTCTCCAAAGACATGCTGGTAGGTGAATTGGCTCCTCCTGTCTAAATTGTCCCTAGTATGTGTATGTATGAATGTGAGTTAGGGACCTTAGATTGTACGCCCCTTGAGGGTTAGGGACTGATGTGAATGTACAATATATATGTCAAGCAATGTGTAAATTGACGGCGCTATACAAGTACCTGTAGTAATAATAATCCTGTAGATCTGTGGTGTTTTGTGTGCGTTTTTTTTTTTTTTTTTTTTTTTTTCCCCCCCCCCCCCCCCCCCCCCCCCCAGTTCGTCTAACACCATAATGATTACATCCAACAATTTTATATAATGAAATATATGCATCACAAACCTATTGATAAGCAAGACCCTCCTTACTCGTGTGTAAAATATATCATTTTTGTATTTTTCTCCCACTCTGTCAATTTTAGCCACAAAAAGTTCAGTATGGACGACTTTCAGATTGGCCGTCCTTTGGGTAAAGGCAAGTTTGGGAACGTCTACCTGGCCCGTCACAAGGAGACCAAGTACATCCTGGCCCTGAAGGTTCTCTTCAAATCCCAGCTGGAGAAGGAAGGAGTGGAACATCAGCTGAGGAGGGAGATCGAGATCCAGTCTCATCTCAGGTAAATCGCATCGTCTTCCTGATGGATCTTATGTGATAGGTAGGACTTCAGGCAATGCTGCCTGGGAAATGTCTAGGCAGAAAAGCGACTTCTGGGCAGGGGCGGGCTGACCATTTGGAAACTCAGGCACTGCCCGCAGTCAGTAGGGGGCCCCATGAGATGCCCCTTGTACCTTTTAGGATTTTTGAGTTTGGGCAAGGACACAGGGGCCCCCTGATCCCCCTATTGCCCCATGAGTTGTCAGTCCGCCCCTGCTTCTGGGTAATTTATAAAGGTGACGGGGCCTTAGGGTGACCCTCCACCTCCACCCTATTATGAGAAGTATGGGGCTGCCATTGCTGGCCTTTCCTTTGCGGATGTTAGGCCCTTGCTGTCATACTTCGGCTTCAATGCTTTCGAAGTTTGACACCGCAAGTAAAGAGATGAAAAACCGGCCGTTTTTTTTTTTTTTTAAAAAACGAAAAATCGGTTCAGTCGGCCGACGTTACCACCATTGTTAAAAAAAAAAAATCGGCTGATTTTTGTCCCCTCTACGGCCGGCAAATATAATAGTGGTGTCCCTGCAGAGAGCTCCGCTATTATATTTGACATTTAAAAGGATAGCAAAGTTGCAACATTGTATCTATTTGTATACATTTCGGATACAGATGTTTCTATTCGGATACAAATAGATACAATGTTGCAACCGCTATACTTTTAAATGTCAAATATAATAGCGGAGCTCTCTGCAGGGACACCGCTATTAGATTTGACATTTAAAAGTATAGCGGTTGCAACATTGTATCTGAATAGAAACATCGGTATCCCAAATAGATACAGATGTTCTTTTTTTGTCTTCATCTTTTCTTGCAGGTCACGGCTCATGCGCAATTTTTAATTGGTAAAAAGATTGGCAGATCATTGCTGTGAAAATCGTCCGATTGACAAAATCAGCAGTTTTTTTTTCCAACATGACCGATTAAAAAAAAAGTCAAAATCACAAAAAACGGCCGACCAATTCACCCACTAACGATCCAAAAATTGGCCGATTCTTTCGGACGAATTTTCGACCCATCTATGGCCTGCTCAAATCCCGGGTGCTGGCCCTGTCCGCAACAGACTCCAATATACAGACTAACATCCAATGGCCGCACATCCAGTAAAATCACCTTTTTTATTTCTTCTTCTACTATATTGCACAAATATGACCGGGATACAGGACTCCAGCTAACGCGTTTCACGCTCCACTAGCGCTTAGTCATTATCTATGACTAAGTGCTAGTGGAGCGTGAAATGCGTTAGATTGAGTCCTGTATACCTGTCACTTGTGGAATACACTAGAAGAAGAAATAAAAATTTGATTTTTACTGGATGTGCGGCTATGAAATGTTTGGGTGTTTTTTTGTTGTTTTTTTTGTATTTTTTGTGGATTTTTTGTTTTGTTTTGTTTGTGGTTTTTGCTTTTTTTTTTTTTTGGTTTTTTTTTGTTTTTTTTTTTTTTTTTTTTTTTATATATATATATATATATATATATATATATATATATATATATATATATATATAGATATAGATATAGATATATATATATATATATAATAAGAACGGCAATACTACAATAGGGATTGTACAAGGCCAGTGGCCAGGACTATAGAGGGCATGTTAGCCTTGGGTCTTATGAACAGGATATCGAGTGTTCAGAGGGCTGGTCGTTGAACAAAGAAGGCTGGGGTTCTGACAGGCAAAGAGGACTGTAACACCAAAGCATGGAAGTACCTGCATGCATATATCATTACATTTCTGCTTGGGCTTCAGCTTTAGAACTGGAGTGAAGATTTGCTGTGTTATAGGGAACATTGGCCAGTACCAAAAAAAAATCCACCTCTTTTGTCTGGTATGCCTCCTGAAAAATAGTAGTGCAGTTCGTAGTGTGTGTGCCTAGGCATCTGCAGGGGGGGAAGGGTCAGGTAGGCTGTACAGGGCCCCATGATTTCTAATGGTGGCCCTTAGCAGAGCAGACATTAAGGCTGGCCATACACTATACAATTTTCTGCCCAATTTTCCTTTCGATTTACCATCAACTATGTAGTACAAGGGCCTGCCTAATTGGATACAATTGAAAGTGGTGTTTAACCTCTTCACGCTGGCCGCACACAAATGTGCGGCCTCTTGGTGTCTGGGCCTAGACGCAGAGCGGCCGCACATTTGCGTTCTATTAAAGGACATATGTGCCGAGAGCTCGCGTCCTGCACGCTCCCAGCACACATGTCCAGTACTCAAGGGAAAGGTCCCGATCGCCTCTTCTTTCGATTGGGACCTTTCCCGATCATGTGATGGCTTGTCGCATGGCCCTAAACCCCGCCCCGGCTTCTGGAACCCTTAACGTGCCGGGAGGCGCTGGCGGGAAAATGTTAAGTTTGACCTCATGTGGTTTTTTGGTAAATCTAAAGAAAATTGTATAATGTATGGCCAGCCTTGGGGTCTAATGGGAGTACTTGTCTGTTTTTTTCACCCCTCTCGTGGTAGCAAAGTTTAAAAAAGGTGTAAAAAAAAATGTTTGCACGCTTTCAAGGTAAACGTACACATAGGTTGCAGATGTGGGGGGGGGGGGTGGTTTGTGTTTTTTTAATGACAACTATGCAACACGTATTGGGAATTGCAGCACATGCCAAAGTGAGAGAAGCAACTTTTACTGTTACCTCTAGACCAGGGGCAGGCAACCTTAAATAGGTGCAGATCTACCTGAACAATGTGGGAGAAGTCAGAGATCACCGGGTTCAATGTTTCCTCCTCATGCCTGATTTAAACCTCCTAATTGTCATACTACCGCGCCTCAATAGCGAGCATTGCACGGCAATCAAGGGTTTAAATCCGGTGATGAGGCAATATATTGCCATCTCACCACTTGTCAAACGCACTGGGATCGCTTGTCAGAAAAGCATCAGTGCCCGCTGCACTTGTGAATGAGCCCTTAGGTGCATTCAGCAGCACCCCCCTGCGGTTGAATCGCGGTTTTTACTGCCACCCATCACTAACCTGTTTAGTCACTGAGACATCAGGAAAAGGTGTACACATGCTACATCAGAAAAGGTGTACACATGCTGCAGCAGGAAAAGGTGTACACATGCTGCAGCAGGAAAAGGTGTACACATGCTGCAGCAGGAATTACACCCCCCTGTTGCTTTTGATGGGTGCTTTTGCTTGCCAGTCGTGACCCATTCAATTAAATGGGGCCACTCTGCAGGTGCCTCACAACTGTATGCTCCTGTGGGGTCCAAGGGGTTGCAGCAGGTGGTGAGACAACAACGCTGCCTGCTTTAACTCCTTCTTTGCTGTGCAGCACAAGGTTGCAGGACACTTGCAGAGCGGCCTCATTCACTTGAATGGGTCATGCTGGACAGCTGCTACACCCACCAACCATGACAGGGCGTATAACTCCTGCTGCAACATGTGTACACCCCTGGCCACAGCAGATAAAGGGGGTGCGGGTGGGGTGATTTAAAAAAGTCTTAACTATGGGTTTTATCACTTCCCCCAATGTAAATTAACCCTTTCTGTTCTGAGCCCCCTATGTCTGCTTTCACACTCTTGTGTTGCAGTTTACATGCACCTCGGGTGCAGTGCATCTGTGACTTTTGATTGGCTGTGCTTTTCCATACACTTAGTATATCCTGTGGGTTTGGCTTACTTCCTGAAAGCGCACCTAAACTCCTGGAATTTTGGTACGCTTTCAGAAAGTGAGCCAAACCCACAGGATTTAATGGAAGTCTATGGCTAAGTGCAGGAAACCCAGAAAGCTGGAGGGTACACTGCTCTGCACCCGTGGTGTGGGTAAACCATGACGCATCAGTATGAAGGCCGCCCTATAGTATTACTCCCAGTGTATTGCCGCGCACTGACCTGAAGATCTCTTCTCTTCTCTTTCCTGCTGCTGGCACCACTCTGGAGACCACTAGCCAGGATAAGAGGTGGAGTGCAGGTGGTATCACTCCGCATGGGACAGGAGCCGGCACTACGAAGGAGACCGCTAGCCGGGATAAGAGGTGGAATGCAGGTGGTATCACTCCGCATGGGACAGGAGCCGGAAATACGGAGGAGACCACTAGCCGGGATAAGAGGAGTGCAGGTGGCATCACTCCGCATGGAGTGCAGGTGGCATCACTCCGCATGGTACAGGAGCCGGCACCACTCTGGACACCACTAGCCACTAGCCAGGATAAGAGGTGGAATGCAGGTGGCATCACTCCGCATGGGACAGGAGCCGGCACTACAAAGGAGACCACTAGCTGGGATAAGAGGTGGAATGCAGGTGGTATCACTCCGCATGGGACAGGAGCCGGAGGAGATCACTACGGAGGAGAGGTCACTACAGCCGGGATAAGAGGTGGAGTGCAGGTGGTATCACTCCGCATGGGACAGGAGCCGGCACTACGAAGGAGACCACTAGCCAGGATAACAGGTGGAGTGCAGGTGGTATCACTCCGCATGGGACAGGAGCCGGCACTACGGAGGAGACCACTAGCCGGGATAAGAGGTGGAATGCAGGTGGTAGCACTCCGCATAGGACCGGAGCCGGCACTACGGAGGAGACCACTAGCGAGGATAAGAGGTGGAATGCAGGTGGTAGCACTCCGCATGGGACAGGAGCCGGCACTACGGAGGAGATCACTAGCGAGGATAAGAGGTGGAATGCAGGTGGTAGCACTCCGCATAGGACCGGAGCCGGCAATACAAGGGAGGCATCAGCTTATATGGCTTCTGCTCCCTCAAACTGTAGAAGTAGTCTCTCTGCATTGCACTCTGTTTGATGCTCAGGATAACGGGTCAGCAAGCCCAGATCGTGATCTACCAGTCTCCTGGCCACGGTCTACCAGTCTCCTGGCCACGGTCTACTGGTTGCTGACCCCCACTCTAGACTGACCTGCAAAGGCGTTTGAAGCATTACCTGAAAGGATCGATTTTCTTTATCCCCTCAGAGACCCCCGGTCTGTGGAGAGATTCCTGGTTATCAGCAGAATTCTGGGAACACCTTATGAACACGGAATAACAGCAGGCAGCTTATGTTCAGAGATGTTCAAAGTTTATTAGACATTACTAAAGTTATATAGAATACAGAAATAATAAGGGGGGGGAGCGAGTTTCAAAACTGTAACTTGTAAGTTTCCATCATGAGCTGACTACATGAAACATGATATATACATTTCTTGGTATAAACTGTTTTCTAGCTTTCTTAGAATCGGCTGAACGCAGAAAGCTTCAGGGTCTTCTTATCATTGTTTATACATTCTGGTGCAACCTGAAACGGTTTCATTAAACTTCCAATATATCTGCAAAAAGCTAACTTAATGCTTAAAATGGCGTACATCAACAAATGGAGATCCTTTCATTACCTAATTTGGGGTACCATCATTTTTTACTGTTCTGCAGTGAAGAGGTTCGAATTTCTTACACAGTATTTGTGTATCAGTCTTTCTGGTGTACAAACTCTTCTGATCTTCAGCTCCTGTATCCCACAGACATCCAAACATCCTCCGCATGTTGAACTATTTTCATGACCGCAAACGTATCTACCTGATGCTGGAGTTCGCCCCGCGGGGAGAGCTGTACAAGGAGCTGCAAAAATGTGGTCGGTTCAATGAGCAGAGGAGCGCTACGGTAAGAAAGCTGCTTGTAGTCATCCTACCATGGGAGGAACATGGAGGGGACCATTGCTGACCTCCCCTGAAAATGCTGCGGCCGCATTGTACCCGCTGATATGAGCATAAAGTCCAGATAATACCGCCAAACAACTCATTCACTTCCTTATCTCACACCTGGACTACTGCAACTCCCTCCTCACCGGCCTACCCCAACACAGGCTATCCCCGCTTCAGTCTATCCTGAACTCAGTGGCCAGACTCACCCACCTCACCAACTGCTCCACATCTGCCAATCCCTTCACTAGCTTCCGATTGCTTAACGCATTAAATTCAAATTACTAACTCTGACATTCAAAGCCATTCACAACGCTGCCCTAAACTACCTCACCGACCTGATACCCAAATACCACCCAACCCGTACCCTTCGCTCCTTACAAGACCTCCTACTCTCTAGCTCCCTGGTCTCCTCCTCCCACGCCCCGACTGCAGGACTTCCCCCATCCTCTGGAACTCCCTACCCCAATCCATCAGACTGTCACCTACCCTCCTCACCTTCAGGCGCACCCTGAAAACCCATCTCTTCAGGGAAGCCTACCCCACCCTCACCTAACAGCTGTTCTCCTCCACTCCTCCTACCACTCCATCCCCCACAGCCACTTCCTCCTGTACCTCTACCCCCTCCCTCCTAGATTGTAAGCTCAAAAGAGTAGGGCCCTCGAACCCCTCGTGTGTTGTTTTACCGTCTTGTCTCATGTACTGTCCCCCTCGCTATTGTACAGCGCTGAGCAAACCTTCTGGCGCTATATAAATACTGTATAATAACAATACATGTCCTTGTGTTGGTCTTCAGATCTCTGTGGGGCACCCAAGTCAATGCTGTTCATGAGGCCCTGCGGGCGCCTAGCTGCAGTTGTGGATTGAAGTATATGTTCTGTGCCATACACGTACAATTAGAACATATTTTTCATTATGGCAGGCCTGGAATCCAGGCTTAGGACTTGAGCTGCCACCACTCCTGTCCAGCAACCACTTTGCTGCCTCATAGGGTACCCCAATTACATTGGCAGGGCTGAGTGTATGCAAAGCCTCACAATGCTCTCTTGGCCTATAAAGCTGAACCTCACCCAAAAGGGGAAGTTCTGCTCTTTCTCCTGCTGCCATCCATTGTCCCCCCACATGCCCCCTCCTCCCACTGACTTTAATTTTTGCACAGTTGACTGAAACTTCTCTTTAAATAGATCGCTGAAATTGTTCTACCTGTTGATCCTGCCAGAAATCTTGTTGGCTGATACCTTCCTGTGGTCTCCACAGGAAGGGCTGGTATTTTTTTAGGGAGGGTGTGACTGCATATTCCACAGGAAGCTGGGACCTGCCTTGTCTTGGTGCCACACATTGGGAAAGGCTGGGAGAAGTCTATTGCTGTGTATTCTATAAATTCTTCTTGTTTCTTTGCAGTTTATAGAGGAACTTGCAGATGCTCTCCAATACTGCCATGAGAGGAAGGTTATCCATAGGGACATCAAACCGGAGAATCTTCTGATGGGGTACAAGGGGGAGCTGAAGATTGCAGACTTTGGCTGGTCGGTTCATGCCCCCTCACTCAGGTACATCCTGGGCAATGGTGCCTAATGCTGAGCAGTGACTGAAACTTGGTATATGATGCATACTGCTGAGCAGTGACCACTGACACTGGAATATGGTGCATACTGCTGAGCAGTGACCACTGACACTGGAATATGGTGCATACTGCTGAGCAGTGACCACTGACACTGGAATATGGTGCATACTGCTGAGCAGTGACCACTGACACTGGAATATGGTGCATACTGCTGAGCAGTGACCACTGACACTGGAATATGGTGCATACTGCTGAGCAGTGACCACTGACACTGGAATATGGTGCATACTGCTGAGCAGTGACCACTGACACTGGAAATATGGTGCACCACTGCTGAGCAGTGACCACTGACACTGGAATATGGTGCACACTGCTGAGCAGTGACCACTGACACTGGAATATGGTGCACACTGCTGCTGAGCAGTGACCACTGACACTGGAATATGGTGCATACCTGAGCTGAGCTGTGACCCCCATCAGAGACTGGTATATGATGCATACTGTTGATCAGTGACCCCTCAGATTGGTATGATGCATACTGCTGATCAGTGACTACTGAGACTGGAATATGGTGCACACTGCCTAGAAGTGATTACCGAGAGCTGGTAAAATGCATACTGCTGAGCAGTGCCCGCCACGACTGAAATATGATGCATACTGCTGGGCAGGGATTGCGGAGTCTGAAATACAGTGCATGCTGCTGAACAGTGATGGAGGATAAATTATGGTGCATAATGCTGAGCACTGGTTACTGTGACCGGTATATGGTGCATACTGCTGAGTATTGACTGTGACTGGTATAGAATGCCTACTACTGAGCAGTGACAACCAAGCACTCCTTGTACTGTTGCAGGCGACGCACTATGTGTGGCACACTGGACTATCTGCCGCCGGAGATGATTGAGGGCAAGACCCACGATGAGAAGGTGGACTTGTGGTGCACAGGGGTCCTCTGCTACGAGCTCCTGGTCGGGTGTCCACCTTTCGAGAGCCAATCCCACACAGAGACCCACCACAGAATAGTCAAGGTGAGCAGGTGACGGGGGGTTGGGATTTGTAAAATCTAAGCATGTGTGGTCACCTTACATACCAGACACAGTTTCAGTAGTGTGTACAGTGAGGTTTTACCAAGTCTTTAAAAAGGTTTCTGCAAGTTAATAGGCTTACAACCACCTTGGCCTGCTGGCTTTTAAAAATCTAATCTCCATTCCTTCAGTCTTGCACGGTTGTACCGGCTCCTCTCCTGACCTGAAACTGCTTACTGGTTTTCACTGCACACTGTGAGCTTCTCATGTGCATTAGAAGCTGGAGCTATGCAGAGGAATACAAAGCAGCATGCTGGTGCTGACAGTGGAGAGATCTGTATTGTTTTACACACAGACCTCTTCCCTGTCAGTGTTCCTTGCGATTGCCGTGTGCCGGCGGGGAATCTCCGGCTGGGACCCGGTGAGCGACAGCTGAACCCGCCAGTGGCGGCGCGGGTAGGGCAGTAGGTGTGCCCCCTACCTGGAAATACAGAATCACGTGTGTGTATATATGTGATCTTTGAGCAGCCCTGCCACCATGTAGCAGTAGTTCTGCTGTAGGGCGGTCGGGAAGCAGTTAATACATCAATAAAACCAATTTTGTAATAAACTAAGCACAGGAAGAGGAAGTCAATTCATGTACTAGCAAGCGGCATGCCGGTAGGAGAGAGCAGAGTGATGTGCTTATTAGTGCGCTGCTTCTCCTTTCACTGTACACATCCTGGGGGAGGCACAAACTCTGCGTATGTTAATTTCAATAGAGAAAGATGGGGTCTGCTAGACGTGGCTGTGTAAATGTTGGGACCAGGGGCGGACTGACAACTCATGGGGCCCCTGGGCAATGGGCAATAGGGGATCATGGGGCCCCTGTGTCCTTGCCCAAACTCAAAAAAGCCTATGAAAAGGTACCAGGGGCATCTCATGGGGCCCCCTACTGACCCCAGGCCCTCGGGCAGTGCCCGAGTTTCCAAATGGTCAGTCCGCCCCTGGTTGGGACTGAATGGACAGAAATACAAATCCTTTGATAGGTGGAGCAGCTCCTGTGTATGTATTTGATCTGTTTATTTGTTTACTTGCAGTTGACTTTCCTCTAATCTATGGATACATTTCATTCTTTCCTCCTCCCAGGTTGACCTACGGTTTCCTTCCTTCCTGTCTGAAGGATCCAAAGACCTCATCGGCAAGCTCTTAAAATACAACCCATTACATCGCCTGCCGCTCAGAAGTGTCATGGAGCACCCGTGGGTGCGTGCCAACTCTCGTCGGATCATGCCTCCAAGCTTTGGTTCTGGGCTGGCCAAATAACCCCCGTCGGGGTGATATGTACTGTCACATGCTCCCACATTGGTCACCTTGTCACATGACACAACTGACTTCTATCATCTGTATATTCTGTTCAATGGGTTATAGGGTCTGATTCACATATTAACATGTATGGGTGCAACACGGGGCCCAGTTGTTCATGTTCTATAGGGGAAAAAATGCCATGCTGTATAATACTCTGCATATTTATATATTAGGAGTGTGTTTCCATTTTCGGTGAGTGACTGACTGCTGGGACAAGTCTAACACCATGATGCCTTAATGGCCTGTGACTGCTGCAGAGCTACAAATCCCAGCAAGCCCTGGTGGCATCTGGCTGTAAACACACTGGGATCGTTCGCTCTCCAGCTCAAGGGGCAAAGAAAGCGAAAGACCCTTTTACCTGCAAAGCCAAGTGAATTTTTTATGTTCAAGTTTTCCAAGCTTGAATCTCTCCTCCTTCTTCCTTTTTTTTTTTTTTTAATGTATCTTGTAATAGTTTTTTTGTCTTCTTTGAGTTCTGGTTTTGGGGCACTGTGTATTGCCTTTTTACTGTCACATGTAAAGTTTTTTTTGTTTGTAAATAAAACTGTTTTTTTCTAAGAGGAATTTATCATTTTGAGTTTAGAGAGGCATGCAACCTCCCTCTCTTGCTGCTGTGCGTGGGTGTGGCTCAACCAAAGCAAACTCTGACGTTTGGCATTTTAATGGGCTGGGATTTAGGCTGGCCATACTTTTTATACAATTTTGTACAATTTCCAGTTTGATTTACCAAAACCTTATAATATGAAGTCAAACTTAACCATTTCAAGTCCAGGAATTTTCACCTTTAAACACTTTGAGTGACAATTACTCATGCAGCACCGTTCCCATATAACATTTTTCTTTTTTTTTTGCTATACAAATTAAAAAATACCGAACAATATTTTGAAAATTTTTTTGCTTAGGTTTTGTTAAAATTTAGCAAATCCATTTTTCTTCATAAACCTAGGGCAAAAAATATTCTGCTACGTTTTTTTGGGATAAAAATAAACCCAAAACCGTTTTTAGATTTAATTTGTGTGAAAGCTATATTCTGCAAACTATGGGATATATATTTGAAAATTGGATCAGTTGAGATCCTAAAATGTTGGACGCTGCTATGGCAGTGATCAGGACATTAGCAGGAGGATGCTGTTATGGCATATGGCGATGACCAGGATGTTGGTATTGGGTATGGCTGTGATCAGGACTCTGGTATGGAGGTGATCAGGGTGATGGTATGGGGTGATCAGGATGCTGGTATGGAGGTGATCAGGATACTGGTATGGGGTATATAGGTGATCAGGATGCTGGTATGGGGTATGGAGGTGATCAGGATGCTGGTAAGGGGTATGGAGGTGATCATGACTCTGGTATGGGGGAGATCAGGATGCTGGGATGGGGTATGGCGGTGATCAGGATGCTGGTATGGGGTATGGAGGTGATCAGGATGCTGGTATGGGGTATGAAGGTGATCAGGATGCTGGTATGGGGTATGGCGGTGATCAGGATGCTGGTATGGGGTAGGTGATCAGGATGCTGGTATGGGGTATGGAGGTGATCAGGATCCTGGTATGGGGTATGGAGGTGATCAGGATGCTGGTATGGGGTATGGCAGTGATCAGGATGCTGGTATGGAGGTGATCAGGATGCTGGTATGGGGTATGGTGATCAGGATGCTGGTATAGGGTATGGCGGTGATCAGGATGCTGGTATGGGGTATGGCAGTGATCAGGATGCTGGTATGGGGTATGGAGGTGATCAGGATGCTGGTATGGGGTATGGCGGTGATCAGGATGCTGGTATGGGGTATGGAGGTGATCAGGATGCTGGTATGGGGTATGGAGGTGATCAGGATGCTGGTATGGGGTATGGCAGTGATCAGGATGCTGGTATGGAGGTGATCAGGATGCTGGTATGGAGGTGATCAGGATGCTGGTATAGGGTATGGCGGTGATCAGGATGCTGGTATGGGGTATGGCGGTGATCAGGATGCTGGTATGGGGTATGGCGGTGATCAGGATCCTGGTATGGGGTATGGCGGTGATCAGGATGCTGGTATGGGGTATGGCGGTGATCAGGATGCTGGTATGGGGTATGGCGGTGATCAGGATGCTGGTATGGGGTATGGCGGTGATCAGGATGCTGGTATGGGGTATGAAGGTGATCAGGATGCTGGTATGGGGTATGAAGGTGATCAGGATGCTGGTATGGGGTATGAAGGTGATCAGGATGCTGGTATGGGGTATGGCAGTGATCAGGATGCTGGTATGGGGTATGGAGGTGATCAGGATGCTGGTATAGGGTATGGCGGTGATCAGGATGCTGGTATGGCGGTGATCAGGATGCTGGTATGGAGGTGATCAGGATGCTGGTATGGGGTATGGCGGTGATCAGGATGCTGGTATGGGGGTATGGCGGTGATCAGGATGCTGGTATGGGGTATGGAGGTGATCAGGATGCTGGTATGGGGTATGGAGGTGATCAGGATGCTGGTATGGGGTATGGAGGTGATCAGGATGCTGGTATGGGGTATGGCAGTGATCAGGATGCTGGTATGGAGGTGATCAGGATGCTGGTATAGGGTATGGCGGTGATCAGGATGCTAGTATGGTGTATGGCGGTGATCAGGATGCTGGTATGGGGTATGGCGGTGATCAGGATCCTGGTATGGGGTATGGCGGTGATCAGGATGCTGGTATGGGGTATGGCGGTGATCAGGATGCTGGTATGGGGTATGGCGGTGATCAGGATGCTGGTATGGGGTATGAAGGTGATCAGGATGCTGGTATGGGGTATGGTGGTGATCAGGATGCTGGTATGGGGTATGGCGGTGATCAGGATGCTGGTATGGGGTATGAAGGTGATCAGGATGCTGGTATGGGGTATGAAGGTGATCAGGATGCTGGTATGGAGGTGATCAGGATGCTGGTATGGGGTATGGCAGTGATCAGGATGCTGGTATGGAGGTGATCAGGATGCTGGTATAGGGTATGGCGGTGATCAGGATGCTGGTATAGGGGTATGGCGGTGATCAGGATGCTGGTATGGCGGTGATCAGGATGCTGGTATGGGGTATGGTGGTGATCAGGATGCTGGTATGGGGTATGAATGTGATCAGGATGCTGGTATGGGGTATGAAGGTGATCAGGATGCTGGTATGGAGGTGATCAGGATGCTGGTATGGGGTATGGCAGTGATCAGGATGCTGGTATGGAGGTGATCAGGATGCTGGTATGGAGGTGATCAGGATGCTGGTATAGGGTATGGCGGTGATCAGGATGCTGGTATGGGTATGGCGGTGATCAGGATGCTGGTATGGGGTATGGCGGTGATCAGGATGCTGGTATGGGGTATGAAGGTGATCAGGATGCTGGTATGGGGATAAGGATGTTGGTATTGGTTATGGTGGTGACCAGGATGTTGGTGTGGGGATGATGAGGATGCTGGGGTGGGGCATGGCCATGATCATGATATTAGCATGAGGTATGGTGGTGATGAGGACACTGGTATGGCAGTTGCCAGGATGCCATTAGGGGTTATGGCGGTGCTCAGGATGCTAGTATGGTGGTGATCAGGGTGCTGGTATGGTGTATGGCAGTGATCAGGATGCTAGTATGGTGGTGATCAGGGTGCTGGTATGGTGTATGGCAGTGATCAGGATGCTAGTATGGCGGTGATCAGGGTGCTGGTATGGTGTATGGCGGTGCTCAGGATGCTAGTATGGTGGTGATCAGGGTGCTGGTATGGTGTATGGCAGTGATCAGGATGCTAGTATGGCGGTGATCAGGGTGCTGGTATGGTGTATGGCAGTGATCAGGATTCTGGTATGGGGTATGGTGGTGATCATGATGCTGGTATGGCGATGATCCAGGGTGCTGGTATGGCAGTGATCAGGGTTTTGGTTTGGGTATGGGGGTGATCAGGACATTGGTATGGGGTGTTTTGTGCACATTGGGACAGGTGACAGGGCCTCCTGAATTATTTATGTATATACTGGGGCAGTGATCTGGGGTGACTGGCACTGCAGTGTGAGTATACAAACAGTCTGACAGGCTGCTCTACACACACTGCAGGATTGCTTCTCTGTTTGTTTTCACACTGAGAGCAGAGAGAAGCGATCTTTACTTTGTTTCCAGTGATTACTATGTGAGTTCTGTGATTGGTGACAGCAGTCACATGGTAAAACATCACGTGATCACCCAAAACAGTGGTAATGTGATCTGCTGTGTCCAGGCGACACACTGAGCCATCGATGCAGGTTGACGTACAGGAACGTTGGCCCGCATTGGCGCTGCTTCTCGTCTGCCATCTATGTACAATGGGCGGACGGGAATAAGTTAAACGCTTTCAATTCATATACAATCGGGCAGACCCTTCCACAACATAGTTCAAGGTAAATCTAAAGGGGGTTGAACAAGAAAATTGTATAATGTAATGGCCAGCTTTAGGGCTCTTTAAGATTTCTACTCAAGTGTTGCGGGTTTTAGTATAGAAGGGTAAATGGGGTTTATGCCATCTTTTTCCCCAGTGGGGATATTCTCTTCACTTCCTGTGCTGCAGACACAACAGGAAATGAGGGGAAAATCGTTCTTTATAGAAAATAAAAAGCTGTACTTGCACAAATGATAAAAAAAAAACAAATCTGTCTCTACGTATAAATAAAGTCCATAAGAATCAAATTATTATTCAAAAAAAATGTGCATAACCCTTGGACCCCACGTGCTCCAACTAGGGGCGGACTGACAACTCATGGGGCCCCCGGGCAGTAGGGGTTCATGGGGCCCCTGTGTCCTTGCCCAAATGCAAAAAAGCCTATGAAAAAGGTACCAGGGGCATCTCATGGGGGCCCCTACTGACCCCGGGCAGTGCCCGAGTTTCCAAATGGTCAGTCCGCCCCTGGCTCCAACCATAAACAATGTGCTTCAATCCATCGTGTCTCCTCCTCGCTCACCAAGAGGAATTGACATCCTGCCAAACGAGAGTCCACAAGTGCTTGTTGGTATGTATTCCTGGACCTCTGGATGTGGAATCCTGGGTCACCTTTCATCAACCAATGGCAGCTCACCACTGCTGGACCAAATGGCATCATCCACTTGAGTAAACTTTAGTGCAAGGGATGAAAAATATCAATTACATTGGATATGGAGGAAATTTGTATTTTTACAATGAGAGTTTAATACTGGCCCAAGGCCTGGTGTGCCTATGTTACCCCCCCCCCCCCCCACACACACACACACACACACACACGCACGCGCACTGATGTTACATAGCTGTATGTAGAGAGACCGTACAGCAGATGTGATTTTAGGCACTTAAGATTCATTGTTTATATTAGCAGTGCCCTCTGAAGAGTGATCTGTGTTGGATTGCTTTTCAGAGGGTATTAGACAGGAGGTGTTATGTGACATCCTCACTGCCTATTTTAACCCCTCAAAACCTGCACCACCGCCTGTGCAATAGATTGCATTTGGCAGGTAGTATTGCCTGCCAAACTTTAGGGGGAAGGGAGGGGGGGAGATACACGCCTATCTGCTGCCTTTGCAGCTTATGGGGGAGCTGTTATGGGGGGTGGTAAACACACACACCCCATTAGGATTTAAAAAGGATCCAAACAACTATTTGATAATAAATGGCTTCATATGATCATCATCCAATAAAAAAAAGGATTTTTTGGCATGATCATATTTTCAATGTCAAAATTTCACAATTTCTGCCACCAGGGTATGCAAACTTTTGAGCACAACCGTATACAGTATTTTTCGCTCCAAAAGACGCACTTTTTTCCCCCAAAAAAAGGGGGGGAAAAAATGTCAGTGCGTCTTATGGAGCGGCCGGTCCGGTGGTTCTGCCGCTGCCACTGTGTCAGAATACCGGGCCGGCCGCTCAGCTCTTTTCTGTAGCAGGACCTTACCTGTTCCTCAGTCCAGTGCTGCACAGTCTTCCCACGCCGGCATCTCTCAGCCGGGTGCCCACTGCACATGCGCAAGAAGCGCTGCGCTTTGTGAATGGTCCGGTGTCTTCTGGGATTCATGACAGGTCCCAAAAGACGCCGGACCATTCACAAAGCGCAGCGCTTCTTGCGCATGTGCAGTGGGCACCCGGCACAGCTAAAGGGAGGACAACTCCGTGGAAGTGGTAGCGGGTACATGTCAAATTCAGGTACCCGCTCCCCTCCCTCCCCAAACTTCCGCAGTCTCTGGTCATCTCCTGTACCGTCTGCAGTCTCTGGTCATCTCCTGTACTATGTCCGCAGTCTCTGGTCATCTCCTGTACTATGTCTGCAGTCTCTGGTCATCTCCTGTACTGTGTCCGCAGTCTCTGGTCATCTCCTGTACTATGTCCGCAGTCTCTGGTCATCTCCTGTACTGTGTCCGCAGTCTCTGGTCATCTCCTGTACTATGTCCGCAGTCTCTGGTCATCTCCTCTACTATGTCTGCAGTCTCTGGTCATCTCCTGTACTATGTCCGCAGTCTCTGGTCATCTCCTGTACCGTCTGCAGTCTCTGGTCATCTCCTGTACCATGTCCGCAGTCTCTGGTCATCTCCTGTACCGTGTCTGCAGTCTCTGGTCATCTCCTGTACTATGTCCGCAGTCTCTGGTCACCTCCTGTACTGTGTCCGCAGTCTCTGGTCATCTCCTGTACCGTCTGCAGTCTCTGGTCATCTCCTGTACCGTGTCCGCAGTCTCTGGTCATCTCCTGTACCGTGTCCGCAGTCTCTGGTCATCTCCTGTACTGTCCGCAGTCTCTGGTCATCTCCTGTACTATATCCGCAGTCTCTGGTCATCTCCTGTACCGTCTGCAGTCTCTGGTCATCTCCTGTACTATATCCGCAGTCTCTGGTCATCTCCTGTACTTTGTCCGCAGTCTCTGGTCATCTCCTGTACTGTGTCCGCAGTCTCTGGTCATCTCCTGTACTGTCCGCAGTCTCTGGTCATCTCCTGTACTGTCCGCAGTCTCTGGTCATCTCCTGTACCTTCTGCAGTCTCCGGTCATCTCCTGTACTGTGTCCGCAGTCTCCGGTCATCTCCTGTACTGTCCGCAGTCTCTGGTCATCTCCTGTACTGTGTCCGCAGTCTCTGGTCATCTCCTGTACTGTCCGCAGTCTCTGGTCATCTCCTGTACTGTGTCTGCAGTCTCTGGTCATCTCCTGTACTGTGTCCGCAGTCTCTGGGTCATCTCCTGTACTGTGTCCGCAGTCTCTGGTCATCTCCTGTACCTTCTGCAGTCTCTGGTCATCTCCTGTACTGTGTCCGCAGTCTCTGGTCATCCCCTTTACTGTCCACAGTCTCTGGTCATCCCCTATACTGTCCACAGTCTCTGGTCATCTCCTGTACTATGTCCACAGTCTCTGGTCATCTCCTGTACTGTGTCCGCAGTCTCTGGTCATCTCCTGTACTATGTCCGCAGTATCTGGTCATCTCCTGTACTGTCCGCAGTCTCTGGTCATCTCCTGTACTGTCCGCAGTCTCTGGTCATCTCCTGTACTGTGTCCGCAGTCTCTGGTCATCTCCTGTACTGTGTCCGCAGTCTCTGGTCATCTCCTGTACTGTGTCCGCAGTCTCTGGTCATCTCCTGTACTGTGTCCGCAGTCTCTGGTCAGTCCTGTACTGTCCGCAGTCTCTGGTCATCTCCTGTACTGTCTGCAGTCTCTGGTCATCTCCTGTACCTTCTGCAGTCTCTGGTCATCTCCTGTACTATGTCCGCAGTCTCTGGTCATCTCCTGTACCTTCTGCAGTCTCTGGTCATCTCCTGTACTATGTCCGCAGTCTCTGGTCATCTCCTGTACCTTCTGCAGTCTCTGGTCATCTCCTGTACTATGTCCGCAGTCTCTGGTCATCCCCTTTACAGTCCGCAGTCTCTGGTCATCTCCTGTACTGTCTGCAGTCTCTGGTCATCCCCTTTACTGTCCGCAGTCTCTGGTCATCCCCTATACTGTCCAGAGTCTCTGGTCATCTCCTGTACTATGTCCGCAGTCTCTGGTCATCTCCTGTACTGTGTCCCGCAGTCTCTGGTCATCCCCTGTACTGTCCGCAGTCTCTGGTCATCTCCTGTACTGTGTCCGCAGTCTCTGGTCATCTCCTGTACTATGTGTCCGCAGTCTCTGGTCATCTCCTGTACTGTGTCCGCAGTCTCTTGTCATCTCCTGTACTGTGTCCGCAGTCTCTGGTCATCTCCTGTACTGTGTCCGCAGTCTCTGGTCATCTCCTGTACTATGTCCGCAGTCTCTGGTCATCTCCTGTACTGTGTCCGCAGTCTCTGGTCATCTCCTGTACTGTGTCTGCAGTCTCTGGTCATCTCCTGTACTATGTCTGCAGTCTCTGGTCATCTCCTGTACTGTGTCCGCAGTCTCTGGTCATCTCCTGTACTGTGTCCACAGTCTCTGGTCATCTCCTGTACTGTTTCCGCAGTCTCTGGTCATCTCCTGTACTGTCCGCAGTCTCTGGTCATCTCCTGTACTGTGTCCGCAGTCTCTGGTCATCTCCTGTACTATGTCCGCAGTCTCTGGTCATCTCCTGTACTGTGTCCGCAGTCTCTGGTCATCTCCTGTACTGTGTCTGCAGTCTCTGGTCATCTCCTGTACTATGTCTGCAGTCTCTGGTCATCTCCTGTACTGTGTCCGCAGTCTCTGGTCATCTCCTGTACTGTGTCCGCAGTCTCTGGTCATCTCCTGTACTGTGTCCGCAGTCTCTGGTCATCTCCTGTACTGTGTCCGCAGTCTCTGGTCATCTCCTGTACTGTGTCCGCAGTCTCTGGTCATCTCCTGTACTGTCCGCAGTCTCTGGTCATCTCCTGTACTGTTTCCGCAGTCTCTGGTCATCTCCTGTACTGTCCGCAGTCTCTGGTCATCTCCTGTACTGTGTCCGCAGTCTCTGGTCATCCCTGTACTATGTCTGCAGTCTCTGGTCATCTCCTGTACTGTGTCCGCAGTCTCTTTGGTCATCCCCTGTACTATGTCCGCAGTCTCTGGTCATCTCCTGTACTATGTCCGCAGTCTCTGGTCATCTCCTGTACTATGTCCGCAGTCTCTGGTCATCCCCTGTACTATGTCCGCAGTCTCTGGTCATCTCCTGTACTATGTCCGCAGTCTCTGGTCATCTCCTGTACTGTGTCCGCAGTCTCTGGTCATCTCCTGTACTATTTCTGTGGTCTCTGGTCATCTCCTGTACTGTGTCCGCAGTCTCTGGTCATCTCCTGTACTGTCCGCAGTCTCTGGTCATCTCCTGTACTGTGTCCGCAGTCTCTGGTCATCCCCTGTACTATGTCCGCAGTCTCTGGTCATCTCCTGTACTGTTTCTGCAGTCCATTGGTTCAAAATATTTTTTTTCTTGTTGTTCTCCTCAACAGCCTAGGTGCGTCTTATGGAGCGAAAAATACGGTATATAATTTTTTACAACCACACTAAATGGGGGAAGCCCGGGGTGCCCGTTTTCATGTAGAGGTCCTCTACTGTCCTGTTCAGCCACTGGATGGAGCTGCGCCCCAGAGCCAGTATATGATCTGTATCACCGATAGGAAATGTCTTCTCCTAGAGATGCTGGGATGCCGTCATTCCCACAACCCTCTTCTTTCATCTCCCCAGAGAGGAGTCATGACTCATAGGCCAACATCAAATTATTCTGGTAGTCTGGTTAGTGGGGGAGCTCATTTGCATTTTAAGGACTTGACTAGATCTCAGCAGGTACAAAAAATGTATCTGTGTAGGTTTACGGCATCACCATGTCAATATATAGATTTACTTTTTTGGTTGAATAAGGAGTTCTTTAACACCTAAACCTGGGAATCTGCAGACAAACATTCTATGGCATGGTTTACTGTGTTGAGTGAGAGGGTAAGTACATTCTGTTTTGGAGCTGTCACTGACAGCTTCTGCTCTACAGGAACATTGGGAAAAAAGTCAGCGTGGCTCCCAATCATATGATCATTATGACTACCAATCCTGCTGACAATATGGTGTGACGGGAGTCACTTTGGGTGGGGGGCCCATGGAACACAGCCCACTTTGGAGAGGTGAGGAGACCCCTGTCTCAGCTCCCCATATCCCTCTTATGTGTAAGTCACCCTGTGCCTGTTAGGGGTACGGGGTGATCTGTCCTAATATTGTGTAGACATGTATAGGTGGGGTGGAGGTTGTGGATTGTTTGGTGTTATGTGGTTGCATCCCAGTGTTCTATTGTGTGCCTTGCTTGGGAGCAAACTATTATGGGATGTATGTGTTTATGTGTATTGGCTTGGTGAGGGGGGGGGGGTGTTTTCCAGCAGCCCTCCCTCCTGATGGGACTGTCTGCTGGAGTGTCTCTTGTACTAAATGTAGATTGCCCTGCCCTGTGTCATTATGCAGGGGGGGGGGTTTGTTCCCCTGAGTGTATATATCTTGCATCTGTGTTCAAAATAAACTACTTCCTGGTTTACTTCAAGATTGGTGTCATCTAGTCTTGTATGGTCTGCTGTGGTGTCTGTTGTCGGTGTTCGGACGGGGAAGCGGGAGTCTAACGGAAGTACCCAAGCGCAGTCTGGGGATGTTTCCATTACATATGGTCTTGTCCTCTTACAGAGATACAGTGACAGCTGAAGACAGAAGGCTCCAGCTGTCACCATGCAATGCAGTATGGGAAAGAAAACAAAAGTGGTTTAAAGCTGTTGCATCTAGAATAATGAAAAATGCATTTTTGTAAAAGTATTATTTCAAATTCATCAGTACTACCAATACACCTCACTGGATCCCAGCAACCTGAACAACATAACACCTATCTCGTTGTTCCCATTCATGTTAAACATTTAAGAACGCTTAATCTACAACCATCTGAGCTCCTATCCCACTCACAACAACCTTCTTGATCCCGTACAGTCTGGCTTTGGCTTTGGAGCACTCCATAGAAACTGCCCTACTAAAGCTCACTGATGATTAACTAACTGCTAAAACCAGAGGCCACTACTCCATACTGTGACTACTAGACCTCTCTGCGGCCTTGACTACTGTGGACCATCCGCTCCTTCTCAATAAACTCCATTGACTTGGCCTCCAAAACTCTGCTCTCTTCTGGTTGTCCTCATAGCCCGGCGCTCCTTCAGTGTTACGTACAACTCTGTCTCCTCCTCTCCACTTCCGCCTTCTGTAGCGGTCCCCCAAGGCTTTGTTTTTGGACCCCTTCTCTTCTCCATCTTCAAAGAACTAGCAAACACAAATGCTCCTGCACTTGGGGATGGACTCGATGCAGGCTGCAACCACATTAAGAATGTCCTGGAACATGCACACCTTGCTGCCCTCAAATAGACCGGGGGAATCCAAATACAATGAATGAGGAAAGAACAAAGAGAGGGCGCACAGGCCTAGTGCAGTACCATAAAAAATGTTTAATAAAAAATAAAGTAGCTGTTGCACTCACAATTGACAATATAGTCAAGGCACATCATAAAGAACAGCTGGGTCAACACCACGATGAGTAACAGTCCGCAATAGGGAGTGTAGACATCCAATAGGCTGACGCGTTTCGAGGACTTGCCTCTTCCCTCAGAGCCAAGTCCTCGAAACGCGTCAGCCTATTGGATGTCTATACTCCCTATTGCGGACTGTTACTCAGCGCGGTGTTGATCCAGCTGTTCTTTGAGTTGGCTCTGAGGAAGAGGCAAGTCCTCGAAACACATCAGCCTATTGGATGTCTATACTCCCTATTGCGGACTGTTACTCAGCGCGGTGTTGACCCAGCTGTTCTTTGAGTTGGCTCTGAGGAAGAGGCAAGTCCTCGAAACACGTCAGCCTTTTGGATGTCTATACTCCCTATTGCGGACTGTTACTCAGCACGGTGTTGACCCAGCTGTTCTTTATGATGCGCCTTGACTATATTGTCATTTGTGAGTACAACACCTACTTTATCTTCTCCATCTACACCTCCTCCCTTTGTCACCTGATAACCTCCCGCGGCTTCCAATACCATCTCTACTCTGATGACACCCAAATCTATCTGCTTCTCACCTCACTCTCGCATTACTAACTTACTGACATATCAGCATGGATCTCACACCACTTCCTTAAGCTAAATCTCTCTAAAACTGAGCTGATTATATTCTGCGGTGCCCAGTGAACCAGCCATAATTCTTTGCAACACGTGTTGTGGACTGAATTTATATCCCCTACAGGCAGCATCGCTGGTGAGCATGGACTCCTTCTACAGCCTAATTATTCATTGTGTTTTCTGTATGCTTCATACATTGTATATATTTTTTATCTGTTGTTTCAATAGTTTCACCCACCCTGTTTTGTTAGTAAAGCTTCAAGATCGCATTCAGCCTTGCGTATTGTGGAATAGCAGGGTTTAGCTGCATGTCGAGTTACACACAAGGAAACATGTAGCAAGAACAGAACAACTATTGCAGCTCCCTTCTCATAGGCCTACCTCTCCATAGGCTATCCCCTCTTCAGTCCATAATGAATGCTGCTTCCAGACTCATCTACCTTACCAACCGCTCAGTGTCTGCCATCCCTCTCTGCCAATCCCTTCACTGACCTCCACTCAGTGTCCTCCACCCCTCTCTGCCAATTCCTTCACTGACCTCCACTCAGTGTCCTCCACCCCCTCTCTGCCAATCCCTCCACTGACCTCCACTCAGTGTCCTCCACCCCTCTCTGCCAATCCCTCCACTGACCTCCACTCAGTGTCCTCCACCCCTCTCTGCCAATCCCTTCACTGACCTCCACTCAGTGTCCTCCACCCCTCTCTGCCAATCCCTCCACTGACCTCCACTCAGTGTCCTCCACCCCTCTCTGCCAATCCCTTCACTTGCTTCCAAATTCAAAATACTATTAACAACATACAAAGCCATCCACAACTCTACCTTGTCTCAAATGACCAATCCTGTCTCCAAATATCACCCAAACTGTCCTCTCCTCCCAAGACCTCCAGCTCTCATGTCTGCTCCTCCCATGCTCGTCTCCAGGACTTCTCCAGAGCCTCTCTCATCCTCTGGAACTCTCTACCTCAGTCTGTCTGGCTGTCTCCTGCTCAGGCTGCCTTTATGCGATCCCTGACAACAAAACTTGAGAGGTACATATGCAATATTTATTGGACCACAATAAAATCAAACTCGAGGCATGTCTTTCAGGTTACATTTTATGATTTGTTTTTGGGGGGTAGAGGGTTCTCCCTCCTAAGTCTTTAACGGGGGGTGGAGGGAAGTCGAACTTCTAAGTCCGTTAAACTAGTGGGGAGTCAGGTTGGCATTAAAGTGGGATTAGACAGTTGCCTAAAGGAACATCAGGGGAAGAAAGGGGAAAAAACCACATAGACAAAGTAGGGATCATGTTCAGGAGGGGACGCCATTAACAGAGCAATTCAAGTGGGAAGGGGCCACCGCAGGCCTCTACCGATCAGACCACATCTAATGTTACAAAGGTAAGTTCCTAACAGGGCCACAAGGTAAAGTTCATCCAGTAACACCATATTTTGTGAAACGTTTCATGTTTGTTTAGAAAGGAGAGAGTTAGTTCCTCCATCTCCCTGATCTCCTCCACTTTATAGCCATAGCTGAGTGTGAATGGGGAGGGACAAATTACATCACCGATCTTGTCTCCAAATATCATACAAACCGACCTCCTGCTCTCTAGCTCCCTTGTCTCCTCCTCCCATGCTCGTCTCCAGGACTTCTCCAGAGCCTTCCCCATCCTCTGGAACTCTCTATCCCAATCTATCAGACTGTCGCCTACTCTGCCCACTTTTAGGCGATCTCTGAAAACCGATCTCTTCAGGAAGCCTATCCTGCCCTCAGCTAGTAATGAAATCTTCTACTCCTCCTACCAGTCCATCCCCCACAGTTATTACCGTTTGTACCACTAGCCCCTCCCTCCTAGATTGTAAGCTCCCAGGATCAGGGCCCTCCTAACCCTCTTGTATTGAACTGTATTGTTGCTGTATTGTCTCCCGTTATATTGTAAAGCGCTGAGCAAACTGTTGGCGCTATATAAATCCTGTATAATAATAATATATAAATCCTGTATAATAATAATAATATATAAACCCTGTATAATGATAATTTATTTCAGGTAGGTACTTATATAGCGCCATCAATTTACACAGCGCTTTACATATATATTGTACATTCACATCAGTCCCTAACCCTCAAGGGGCGTACAATCTAAGGTCCCTAACCCTTAAGGGGTGTACAATCTAAGGTCCCTAACCCTTAAGGGGTGTACAATCTAAGGTCCCTAACCCTCAAGGGGCATACAATCTAAGGTCCCTAACCCTCAAGGGGCGTACAATCTAAGGTCCCTAACCCTCAAGGGGCGTACAATCTAAGGTCCCTAACCCTCAAGGGGCGTACAATCTAAGGTCCCTAACCCTCAAGGGGGTACAATCTAAGGTCCCTAACCCTTTAAGGGGCGTACAATCTAAGGTCCCTAACCCTCAAGGGGTGTACAATCTAAGGTCCCTAACCCTCAAGGGGCGTACAATCTAAGGTCCCTAACCCTCAAGGGGCGTACAATCTAAGGTCCCTAACCCTCAAGGGGCGTACAATCTAAGGTCCCTAACCCTCAAGGGGGTACAATCTAAGGTCCCTAACCCTTTAAGGGGCGTACAATCTAAGGTCCCTAACCCTCAAGGGGTGTACAATCTAAGGTCCCTAACCCTCAAGGGGCGTACAATCTAAGGTCCCTAACCCTCAAGGGGCGTACAATCTAAGGTCCCTATGCATTTTGGTGGCTGCGAATGCACCCGCTCTCGCTAGATGCATGATGGCGACCAGTGGTGCACTTAAGTTTTGTGCTGCCCTAGGCAACACAAAAATCGTTTGCCCCCATCGACGCTGACCAGCACCCCCCCCCCCCCCCCCCCCCCCCCCCCCCACAACACCCAAGCTCTACATACACATCAAGCAGCCTGCAGCCTCTCTTGGATCCCACCTGGTTCCCATGGCGTGATTGTCACTGCTTTCATCCCTTCTTCTGGGGGGAGGTGCTGCCCCCCTGAAAAATGCCACCCTAGGCAGGTGCCTTGTTTGCCTTGTGGTAAATACGCCCCTGATGGCTACATTGAGAATTAATGGCACCTGCATGCATTCGCAGGGGGCAGCGTGTTACTGTGCTGAGCAGGAAAATACACGTTCCTGCACAGCAAGTGGTGTGATCTGGCTCTTAGATGTCCTTAGGGCCAGTTTACACCTCCTGCAGGGCAGCAGTGCACGTGACAACACGCATTTTCATGAACCACCGGTACTCATGTTACCCTCTGCAGACATGTGTGGGCACCATTAATTCTTAATGGCATCCCTACACATTTAGCATGCGCGGGTGTATTTGCGGCCACCAAAATGCATGGTACCGCAGTTTGGTGCAGCACAATTGATATGGCTCTTAAATGTCCTTAGAGCCAGTTTACACCTCCTGCAGAGAGGGAATGCACGTGACAACACACATTTTCATGAACCACCGGTACGCATGCTTGTAACGGACATGTAAAATTTATTGTACCGGACATGTAAGATTTGAGTGGAAATATGGTATCATAGCCATGACAGGTTGAGTAGATTAGATTATGTCAGGCCCTTTCATTGCAAAGGTGTGTTCAGGAACAGTCTGGTCATTAACCTCCCTGGCGGTATGATTATGTCAGGAATTTTGTGCTGAAAGCGGTACCATTTTTTTGCATGGAAATATGTAGTTTTTAATTGTAGGCTGTAATTTTTAGGAATAACTCACTGAAATCTGTCCGAACAAGAGTCTATTAAACATTCCGGATATGATAAAACTTGAAACACGAAATCATAAATTATAATTTAATAAATAATCATAAAAAATAATAATATAATAATAATAAATTTAATTCAATAATATAATCAAACCAAAAACACTGAAATTTGAAATACAGAGGCAAATTCGCACATCGCTGAGCAAAGTCGCAAAATCGTTTTCAGTGTCTGATGATGAATTTCCCCCACAAATCATTATCACTCAATTCTGCAAGTGGTTCTGATTTACTATTGCTGTTCTAAAACCGCTTTTGACGTAAAGGGACGCTTTTTGAACGCCATGGACTTTTCTAAGTTTCCAGGCAGACAGAACATTCAAAATGCAGGCAGGGCACAGGACAAAGCAGTGGGGACAAAATGTATGTGAAATGCAGTGAAAAAGCAATGACAGCAAAAATGTCATTTTTAAACATTTCAAATTTCCCGCCGGTTCCCGCCGCCGCCCGAACGTTCCGACGTCACGGGGACCGGAACACGGAAGCCAGATGCCGGCATCCGCCGGAGGAGATGGACGGGGACGCTGCAGGGGACCCATCGTGGGAGCGAAGGACAAGGTAAGTGCTGCAGGGACCCCCAGAGAACGCTGCATGGTAAGCCCGAGTGTAGCTCGGGGTTACTGTTCTTGGTATAGAAATTCTACCCCGAGCTACACTCGGGAACACCGCCAAGGAGGTTAAGGATGTATATTGAGCCCCTGGGCAGTAGGGAAATGAGTAGAAGGTACAAACAAATGGTCTAGGATCAGATGTGTATGTATACACAATTACTCAATAGGCCTTACAGACCCAATCATCATTTGCATTAATTAGTCTAAAGCCAGGTTCCTGGAGGTGACACCTTTTGTGTGTCAATCAGGTTATCATCTTCTGGGAAAACCAGTGACAGCAGACAGACTGTCTGCCTTATGTGGAAAGCTCTATAGGTAATATTCATCAAAGGTGTATGTTTAATCTCTTATAAAAGATGAAATATTAGTTGGAGAGATATGAACATGCTTCCATTGCGCAGGGCCTGCTGTGCGCTACATTTACATATAAGAATCATATTTGTGGCTTGGAGAGAAAGCCAGGAAAATGCATGGAATGATTAGATGACGCGGGGGTGCGACAGTCTGATGGTGTTTGGTACTGTTGTGATCGGGCTGATGCGCTGGTTGCATAAATCCAATCCCCGACTTGGTGTTCAGGCCAGTCTTGGCCCAATTGAACTTGGGCAGGTCCATACACAGTACCTCTTGTGGGCAGGTCAGGACCACCTCCCCCAGGGTCAATTGGCCGAAGACTAATGTCCCACCCATGTCCAAATCCCAATAAATTGGGTACACAGACATTTGGACATGTGTGATCCATACAGAGCTGGTTCGATTGACCAATGGATTGCTAAGTTTCTGGCTTGCTCTCCAGCCGCAGGGTAAAGTGTTATTCTGTCTTTTTATTCCCTTTTTATTTTATAGTAATTAGTCTGTCAGGGATGCGGGTGTGACCAGAGGTGTGTGGACTGACACAGGGAAACGCAGGCTTCAGATATGGTATAAATAAGACAATTTATTAAGACTAACAATACAAACAAACGCAGTGCACCAAACCCCAAGCTAACACAAATACATACAACAAGGTGAAACAAACCCAAACCTAAACTGATACAGATACACAGGTACATACACATATAGAGCACAACGTAGTCAGGCAGGCCGGGTCGATAACTATCGGGCAGGTAGGTACAGGAGGAGCAGGCGGAGAGAATGGTCAGGGTCACAAGCCAGGGATCAAACAGGAGAAGTCAGCAGAGGTCAGGATCAGGCAGGGTCGGCAACAAGTCAGGCAGGAACAGGAACAGGAATGCAGGTTACAAGGTACAGGGGCCCATGGAAAAACACACACCAAGGCACAGACTGCAGGTCTGGCCATCCCTTAAATACACCACCTGCAATCAGCCCCAGGTGATGGCTAATTGCCGAAGTGAACCTCTGGTTGTTGAGAGCATCCGCTAGCCAGGCCTGGTACTGCAGCCCACAAGGCAGGTGAGTCCCACCACTATTGGCAAGTCCATTCCTGACAGTACCCCCCCCCCCTCAAGGAGCGGCCTCAGGACGCTCCAAACAGTCCTAGCTGGGCAAAATGTTCCACTGCCCGGGTCCGGTGACTGGCGGGATATCAAAGACTGGCACATCGGGCTGGGCACCGGACGGAGGCACTTCAAGCTGGGCACCGGGGGAGGCACTTCGGGCTGGGCACCGGACGGAGGCACTTCGGGCTGGGCACCGGAAGGAGGCACTTCGGGGGAACTGGGGAGGCACCGGACGGAGGCACTTCGGGCTGGAAACCAGACGGAGGCACTTCGGGCTGGACACCGGACGGAGGCACATCAGGCTGGACGCCGGATCACCAGGCGGAGCAGCGGGCACCGGGCCACACAGGCGGAGCAGCAGGCACCGGGCCACCAGGCGGAGCAGCAGGCACCGGGCCACCGGGCGGAGCAGCAGGCACCGGGCCACCAGGCAGAGCGGCGGGCACCAGGCCACCAGGCGGAGCAGCGGGCACCGGGCCCCCAGGCAGGGCGGCGGGCACCGGGCCACCAGGCGGAGCAGCAGGCACCGGGCCACAAGGCGGAGCAGCAGGCACCGGGCCACCAGGCAGGGCGGCGGGCACCGGGCCACCAGGCAGGGCGGCAGGCACTGGGCCCACAGGCGGAGCAGCAGGCACCGAGCCACCAGGCGGAGCAGCAGGCACCGGGCCCCAGGCGGAGCGGCAGGCACCGGCCCCCAGGCAGAGCAGCAGGCACTGGGCAACCAGGCAGGGCCGCAGTCACCGGGCCCCCAGGCGGAGCGGCGGGCACCGGGCCATCTGGCAAGGCAGTGGGCACCGAGTCACCAGGCGTGACAGCTGGCTCTGAGTCAACTGGCACGACAGCGGGCATCGGGTCACCAGGTATGGCAGCGGCACTGGGTCATCAGGCATTGGATCGTCTGGCTCG